GGCTGGACGAAGAGAAAATAAACATGATGAATAAAAGAAAGGGAGTGTTCATGAGGAAGGAGAACAATTAGAATATTTTTGATTCCCACATCAGCTATCATTTTTCTTTTCAATAAAGAATTACTTTACATTACTTAGAACTTGCTCCCTGTGTGGAAAGATGTAGGCACACACTCACTCACACAAGCTTGCAAACACACAGAGACAATTACACACAGAATTAGCCAGATGTTCTTACCGCTAGCAATGAGCACTGAGGCCAGCACAATGGGGATCATGTTGATTGATGCTTCTGCTGAGGGACAGCAGACAACAACATCTTGATCTTCTTGACATCTTACAACGTACACAGTTTTGCAGATCCAGGAATGAGAGACATATTGGATGACCATATGTATGACCAAACATATCACTCAACACATTTCACATTCAAACATTCTTGGTTTCATTATGCAGTAAATGTGCTGTTCCAAAGTAAAATGTGCTGTTTAAAATGCTGACCCTGTATCATGAGGTTGTTATAATGACTTGAATGAATAGAACCTGAACACTTTAAGGACACAGAAACAACTCCTGAGCTATGAAAGTGTCAGAGTGTGTAGGCCTTAGGTGACTCAGCATGCAGACGTTATAAATCTGTCAAAGGCTGCTTGGTTAATATTACATGGCAGCGTAAAGGTTAGGTGTTACAGTGTAGTAAACAGGTAGAATCAGAAGCGAAGGTGGAAGGACGAAGGAGTAATTGTCAGTGTTTGGACACAAAATATTTGTATGAAATGATCTTTAAGGTGTTTCTGATGAGAGAACCTGACATCAGCTTAAACAAAATCAAGTCGTTAAGGCCAAACATTGTTTGGGCTGTTACAGGAGTTTTATCTCTGCTCTGTGACTTCTTTAAACATTGATGTAATACAAATATTTCACACACACAAAAAAAAAAACAATTTATCAGACCACTTCAGATAGCAGACTGGACTTTTTGTTCATGAATCATTTAGTCTCCCAGTTCACCACTAGATGGGACAATTTATCTGTTTAGAAACCAAACTGAGTTATATTCTTTTACAAAAGAGAAAAAATGTTTTGCTGTATGTTGTGTCTGTTTGCTGCTAGAAACTACATCCAAGCTTTGTAAAGTAAGTCATTTAGAAAATCAATCCTCAATCTAACTGGGTTAGAGCATCTGAAAAGGAGGTCAGACAAAACTTTGACGTTGAAAGTGATAGTAAGAGACCTTCATACACCACAGAGAATACCTTACAACTTATGACAGCTGAATCTACAAAACATTGTTGTTTTTAAAGTTTGGTTGTAGCTACCCATCTATAGTTTACAGACAGGAGAAAATACTTGATATGATGAAAAAAACACTTGAAAGACAAGTACAGCAACAAAACAAGCTTAGATGTACTCAGGTTGTATGTGTGTGTGTGTGTGTGTGTGTGTCAAGGTGTGCTTGTGTGTGTGTGCATGCATCCCTGTTGCATAGCGGTATGCGATTAATTGAAAGCTAATTAAAATTACTCATCAAATCTGTAAAACCCTGTAAAAACCACTTATTACAGGCCAGTGTCTGGAATAGATGCCTCCCTTTCCCATTTTCTGATTAAACCTTTTGTATCCTGTATTCATTACTACTACATTAAACGGAAAAAAAGATAAAAATAGATTAAGTGAGTTTTTGCAGCAAATTATTAATAACCTGACCTGAAATATCACCAACCCAATATCTGTGCCTTACTACTCAAATATGTTTATGTGCAGTCAAATGCAGTCTGCCATGTTGTGGGATGAGACTTACTAGTTTCATGCCTGAGCAAAGCAGAACACCTCACCAACTGAACCCCCCCCGGGGGTTTGTAACAGGTACACTTCAGCCTGTTTTCCCTATCAGAACAGCAGCTGAACCCTGAATGACACTCTGTGTGAGGTTTATGGTTGGTTTATATCACGTTGGGGCAGTAAACACTACTGCCCATTGCCATTCCCCATGTGGAGCAAAGGAGAAAGATTTTGCAATAAAGTATAAATATTATTGTGGCAGGTCTGTGCTATTGGCTGCAGTCAGCTGTGTGGTTTTTAACTAATTTCCCTTGCATACCACTTTGTATCCAACATACCACCACTGGTATGTAGTACAGTGTGGTGGGTTTGTAGCAATAATTAATGTTTAGCCCATTCTGAACCCACTAACGTCCATATTGTTAAGCTTTTTGCCTTTAAATAATATACAGCTGTATTTTCCAGGAGCTGTCTTATTTGCCACAGGCAGTGTGTTTTGAGCTGGAGGCTGAAGAAAATCCAAACATTGGCTGTCTGCTGCTGATTTGCTTTTATCACATCCTTCCTACTGATGTTAACAGAAGGCTTTCCCTGCCTTCACTTTTTGATTTTTGGCACATATGTTTATTTCATTTTGATGTCTTTGTTTCGACTGTGGTTTTAATTCAGTGCTTCCCAACATTTTTGGCTTGTCGTCCCTTAGAAACTCCCTGGTTGGAAGCAAGTGATTTAATTAAATCTCATAAGCACATCATGACCCAACTGGTCTTCCTACAGATCTTGTACGTACTTGCCAGGTTTCCATTTCTTTCATGTTGAGTGGGAGAGAGTAGCAGGGGAGTAGTGGGACTAGGTGCAGTCTTTCTCACCACATTCAGTGCTGTAGTGTTTAGAACAGCTTACTGCTTTAATGTTGTATTTTATTTTATTTTACATTTGCCTCATAGGCTCATGTGCCAAAAGTTTATAATAAACTCACTCCGTATTTCTATTTTTGCTGGATAATATCCTTTCTGCCTTTTTGTGTGACAAATACATTTAACACCTGTTTTAAGAAGGTTGCATAGAGTCCAGGCAGTGGTGTATTGGTGCCTGGAGGAGAGGGCATACTAATTTATGCCCTGATTTAAGCGGCCTGTCCAGCAAAGGATAAACGTCCTGTGTTACGAACAGTGATATGTAAGACTCTTGCACTTATAATCACCCAAAAATTAGCCAGTAGTGTCTGTCACCTAACCTCTGCTGCTTGACTTCAGGGAGAAAGGATCATTATGAAATTAACATAAGCCACAGAAGAGGTGCAGATATTGCAATTAATACTGGCCCGCTAATATTGCTTTACCATCCTAGGAACAAATTCAGCTTGCAAAACACTACTGAATGATGAACATCAGAGGGGAGTGGGTATCCCCAATGCCGACTTAAATAAATGGGTCTGCTCCGTATGCCTGTGTATACCCTGCACTACACCACTGATTTCAGGCACAGCAGCCTTCCTCAATTTCAATAGGCAGCATTTCAGCTGCCAATCAGCTACTTTGAGTGCTTAATTGGTATATTTGCTCATTTAGTTCAGTGAGATGGATATATTTGGGTTATAAGTCATCTTGCTGTCTGTACAAGGGGTTGCTTGTATCAGTTAATATGTAAGCATGCTTACTATTGTGTGCCTTCATTGTACATATAGGTTGAGTAAGTGTTCAACGTTTTAATGTGAATAATTTAACGTTCTAGACATGTAAGCAGACAGTGCCATTAGGACGTTAACTGACTGGCAACTTGAAAACTTGGAATTAACTGTTTATTGTTTTTTTTCTCAGTGTGAGAATTTAATATAGTTGTGGAATCTCGCAAGTAAATTCTTTACTACAAACAAATAGAAGCTTTCTTAGTTCATAATGTGGCTGTCCACTTCTCTTTCAAGATTAATTATATCTGCATATGTGATGTTGTATTGATACCCTGTGGGCAGTGTAACTAATAGAAGTTGTATTGTGTGTTATATTATAATTAATCACAGTGGTATTGTGTTCTGTATTCTGTCTTTTCTATTCTTGAAACCACATACACACCAAGTGTAAAGCAGTACAGCTTTCTAGTAAAGGACAAGAAATCTCTGTTACACCATAATGACTACAAACTCCACAACCAGTGATATTTGTTAGGAGATCATTCATTCATGCTCTTATTTCTATGCATTGCTGCGGATTTATTGGGTCTTTAATATAAATCCTTCTACCAAGCTTACCATTTATAAACATATTAGAGACCCAGGTCTTATTTTGTCTACTTTATATAGTCTTGTCCACATTTGTCATTTTTATTTTTGTGCACAAAAAAGTGTTTGTTACTTAAGGTTTTATTATTATACATTTGAATGTTCTCCCTTTTAGTGTTTTGCATTGTTCTGCAGATTTATTCATAGTAACTTACTTAAAACGTACGTGGACTAGTGCTATATTTGCTAAATTTGCACAGACAGAATTGTATACAGTATGTAACAATAGCGATAAAGATGTCCATGACTACTGCTATTGATAATAATAATAATAATAACATGACATGGTGTAATAACCTTGATTGTGTGGCTCTGATGTTGGGCCTGAATGTACAGCTTTATTGACCAAATATGTGTGTACACATACAAATAATATGACTCTTAGAAGAATATGAGGTTTTAAGTTGCTCTCACTGCACTTACACACACACCATACCACTTTACAGGAAAGATAGAAATAGACAGCTAAAAATGTAAATATAAATATAGTATATAAAAAACAACAATGACTAGTGCTACAATAGAAAGTTCTGTAAATTGTGAACAATTCATAAATATTGAATGGACATGAAGTACACATGGGTGTATGCATGTACACATGTCTTTATACAGTAAATACAGTGTGCCAGATTTGTTTGACAGTGATAATAATGATTCAACCAATTAATTCACTTTCTTCAAAATGTAGGAAAAATATACTAAACGTAGTGTAGTTTGTCTGTTACCCTTAAGAAATGTACACTAATGCATTATGTCACACTGCAAACAGTGACCTGCATCATGAAGCAATTGTCACTGCCTTTTTGTCACCTTTAGGACTGATTTAATGATATAGTCAACACAGTACTGCCCTCGATTGCTTCCTTTACTTGGCAAAGGACCAAAGGTTCAAAGGTTTTCCTCAGAGCTTGTATAAATTCTTTGTATTTGTCTGATCAAATCCACAGAACGCCCAGCCATGTCCAAGAACACAGAGCCACAGACACACAGCAGTGAGTAGACTTGCACACACACAAAACAACTGAAGACTGTATTGAGGCTATAGATGAACTATAGATTTAATGTTTTATTCTTGCAGGACAAACAATAGCAAAATAATTTACTGTAAAAACCATAAACTTCCACACAGAAACATACGTACAGATGTGCATTTAGATAATGTGGTTTAGTCATAATGATATTTTGTTGCATTTCAAAATCAGAGCTGCAGTTACAATAGGACATGTTGGCATATTTCTATTGTTCCTGCTCCAATGTCTCCTGTTGAATCAGAGCTGGTGAAAGAATATGCACAATGTCTCATTAACAGCTTTTAGTCATTCTCAGCTGTTAGTTTAAAGAAGAAAACTGTCTGACAGGTCTCTGCACAGTAAAAACAAGAAGAAAAGAAATTAAAAAGATGTGCAGGAGTATGACAGCTAATTCCAACAAGGTCATTTACTTGTACACTGACATGCTGTTGGTGCTGTGAGGAAAACAATTCATGAAAGCAATAGCTGTTACAAATAAACTACTGTTGCTACTGCTATTATCCAAAAATGAAAGATAAAAAAAAGCAATACCTGAAGCTATTATCCACAACAGTTCAGGGCTCGTCAGTGTTTGCTGTTTTGTTTTCCAGAGGCTCGATTTTGAATGCAGCAGTAGGAAACTATATGAAACACCCCCCTTAAAAAATGACAGCACACATTCAGGCATCATTTGCAATGCTGCAGTAATCACAATCAAAACTCACAAAGTCAACATTGAAAGAGATTGGTAAAGCCTGCAGTGGTTATCTCTCTATTGCACATTCTCGCTTTTATTGTGTGTTCTACTAGTGTCATGGGTATGAACAAAATTCTGCCTCTGCTGATTGGATGCAATAAAAATTCACATAGTCAAAAAAACTGTGATGTTGTAACCTCAGCTCAGCATGGGGCTCTATATTGAACCCAGATGATTTGTTTTTGCTAATCACGTAACTCTCATATATATTTTACAATCTCCATTATGTGTGGAGATATGAGGTAATGAAAGGGAATTGGTTATTGGATAATGGATAAGACAGTAGATAGTGCCATTCACAGTGCACGACCCCAGAGAGCCATGAGTTCACACAAGCAGGAGCTGTTACAGTACATAATGTCTCCTATCACAGAAGAGATGTTTTTTCCCTTTAAGCCATTTTTTAATCACTTGTATAATTTGACAGTTGAAGAAAATTCATCTGCAGAGGTGTGAAGAACCAGAAAAGGATATGTACTGTAGAATGTGTGAAAGTGTGACATGGGCTGTATGTTTATAACATAACATAACTAACAGGTCATTTTCTGTGGGTTTTTACATCACTTTCTCATTCACACTTGCTCAAAGTTCCAAAGTTATAAATGTTTCACAGCACCACACCTAGTGTCTATGCATGACTGTAGGGTGATATACCTGTATGTGTGTGTGTGTGTGTGTGTGTGTGTGTGTGTGAATAAAAGAAAGTGAGAGGTGGAAAAGGTGTGGGGCTGTGGGGCCAAGAGTTCAGCCGCTGTTGAAGTTCTATAATAAAATATCTCACAGATTGTACAGTGTACTTTAATCAGAAATCAGATCCTCTTTTCTTCTCCTCTCCTTTCCTCTCGTAGTATCCAGCAGGCAGCGTTGTCCGCAGGCCAATGGGCTGGAGAACCTGGCGCCTTTGGTGAGTTCTGTGGAGGAAACTCCTGATCCCATCCCCACCACCATTAAGGGAGCTATTCCAGCCTGGATCAATGGGAGCTTCCTGAGGAATGGTCCTGGGAAGTTTGAATTTGGGGAAGACAGGTATTTGAGAAATACTACGGGGAAAAAAACATGGCCAAATTTATACAAAACAAAAATTACTTAAATGACTTCAAGTGAGCTTAATTGGCATGACAAAAGCACTTACAAAAAAAATTTCAATAACAGGTCTTTTGATACAACAACTGAAAGAGTCAGACAACAAAATCTGTATTGTTTGACCATCTTTTAAGCAACAATAATAATATATTATTATATTATAACAAAGAACAGCAGAGCAACAGAAGAAACAATATGAATGATCATACTGAATGCCAACACTATACAGTAGTTCTGAGGTGGTCTGTGATCTGTACCTGTATCTGTGTATCTATACTTTTAACAGGATTGTTCAGGATATACAGTTTTGAGATATTCAGTGAATTATCTTAAGAGGCAGCAGGGGTATTCAAATCATGTAGTTTAAGTTGGCACATACTGAGCACAAAAAGGGTTATTCTTCCTTCACCCATGAAAATTCTCAATTCAATCACTCCATCTACTTTGTATTACACCAATAACCTGCTGCAAAATCAACTGTCTTTTTCTCTCTCAGATACACCCACTGGTTTGACGGCATGGCCATGATGCACCGGTTTCACATCTGCGATGGCGATGTCACTTACAGTAGTCGATTCCTGCGAAGTGACTCATACGTCCGCAACTCAGAGAAGAACCGCATCGTTGTTTCAGAGTTCGGGACATTAGCCATGCCTGATCCCTGCAAGAACATCTTTGCACGCTTCTTTTCACGCTTTCAGATTCCTAGTATGTGTGTCCTCTTTACATGTTGCATATTCCCATGTGTAATCTGATTCAGTGCAGCATAATGTATCCCCAGCAGTGCCAAATGCATTATTAAAATATTCAGTTTATTTGTGCATATAGGTAACAAGGCAGATCACTAGAGGCAAAGTCAAACAAATAGTCAGGGGGAAAAAAAACCTTCAATGCTCATGTCCTTGACTGTATGTGTTGTATTGTATGTTGCTTTTCTGGCCTAATGAAAGCTGGTGTTACATAATATTGTTTTTATTGAGGTAAAGGGAACAATATTGTGTGTCAATATTTGTGTGTGTGTGTGTGTGTGTGTGTGTGTGTGTGTGTTTGTGTGTGTGTGTAATTGTCTGTGTGGGAAAGAATCATGACATAAAGCTTCTGGAAAACTAGGGAAAAGTAAATTTGATGGAAATAGTCACTAATTTGTGAGAAGAGTTATATTTAATCTATTCCTGACACCTGTATGTGTTAACAGAGGCCACAGATAATGCCAGTGTGAACTTTGTCAAGTACAAGGGAGACTATTATGTCAGCACGGAAACCAACTACATGAGAAGAGTGGATCCACAGAGCCTGGAGACAAAGGAGAAGGTGAGTCAGTGTAACAAATATAGAAGTCTCTTTTGAATGCTAATGCTGATCAGCAGTCAAGATGGGTGACTTTTAATAATGATGATGACGACGACACAAATGTTGACCATTTAAGGTGGACTGGAGTCAATACATTGCTGTCAACTCGGCTACAGCTCACCCACACTATGACCAAGAGGGGGCCACGTACAACATGGGCAACTCCTACGGCAAAAGCGGTAACCTTCCTTCACTCCTTGCCTCCTTGCTTCCCACCTGTCTACCTACCTAAGCCAATATATATATATATGTAACCATACATCTTTATTTGTGTACCCTTATGTGATCCTGAAAAACTCTACAACAGCATTTGTTTTTGGGCCTCCTCAGGTTTCTTCTACAACATAATCCGTGTACCTCCTCCTGAGGAGAAGGCAGCAGCACAGGACTCTGCAGACCTGAATGGAGCTGAAGTGATCTGCTCCATCCGTGCAGCTGAACCCAGGAAACCTTCCTATTATCACAGCTTTGGTGAGACACACACTACAGGATAACAAATAGGCTGCAGATTCTTTAAGTAGTCTGCATGCTGGATGTATGCTGATGTGAAATTAATGAATTCCATAAGAGCTTTGTTTTTTTCCTGCACTGACAGGGTGAGTCTACTTCACTGAAAGAGAGCGTCACAGTTTTTTCTGCTCTTATTAATTACCAATTTCAATTCTAGTCACGTCCTGCTTCTTTTTGTCAATCACAGCTCCTTTGTTTTTCTGTTCAGCTCTCACTATCTCTCTCTGTCTATAACTCTGCTGCTGACTCACACACAAAAGTACACACTTTCTCTTATACTTTATATAAAATATAAAATCTGTTTAAAAGAAACACAATGAACATGTTTTACTATAGTTTTGTCAGTACCAAGATCATTTGTGTAATGATGTTTTGTTGTTTGTTTTTTAAATCATTTTTTACTGCTATGTGTCTATATTTCAGTCAGAGCCACTTATGTCAAGAACTGATCATTTATAGCAAATGGTTATAGATTGATGGAATAGGGCTCCGCTTTTTAAGGGAGCTCTTAAAAATATAGTTATCCAGCGGAGTCCTTGTTTGCAATGGAGAACTAATCCCCCTAATAAACAAATACATGACTATTAGATCTTAGTAAAGTCAACAGTATCAAAACGCTTAGCCATGTTATGTGGAGGTTGGGGGGGGGAGGTTAGGGAGCTGCGACAGCTACTTCCATTCATCATATCAGCAAGAGTAAATGAGAAAAAGTCAGGTTATAATGGCCACACAGTAATATCTGTATGATGTAACAATAACAACTAGACATGTAGTGGATGTTACTACTCAGCTGATAGCCAAGCAGTTGATGAAGAAGGCATTGATAATGATGCATGAAGATGATGCCTATCAGGAAATACAAACACAACTTTACACCTTTTGCATCCATTGGGTTTTTGTACTGCACCAGTCCCCTTGATTACATTTCAGTCTATCTTAATCTGCAGACCACCTTGCACTGCCAGACTGTCTGGCACCTAAGAAATCACAACAGTGTGGAACATTGTACCAGTATACAAGGAACCCACATAATTACTCTTCTGTCAGTAGAGTGACAGTAGAGTGGGGGATATTGTTTAGCCCTATTTTCACGTGTTTATCTGAATAGCAAATATTTTTGTCTCATGTGTCAAGGAAAGGTTAGTACGAGGGGCAAAAAAGATTTATTTCGCAAATGACCGCCAAAACGAGTTACATGGATGCGGCCTCCTACAAAAAGGCAGGTGACTTCAGAAAAAAGGTCTCCATTGCATTTTTACAAAACCCTGCATTACTGATTCAATTAAACAACCATGGCCTTAGTCACTATTTTTCAGTTTAATAACAGACAGAAACGCTTTACTATTTTTTATCACAAATTTGGTTCACACCTAAATCACAGCTGAAATCATGTGTGACAGTTCACACGGCCTTGCAATAATTAGCTATGATCCATTTTTATGTATGTTTATGAAATAGTTTATGGGGCAATGCAAAAACCGATGGGCCTCTGGTCATGAAGTAAGTACAAGATCGAGCACTGCGCTAATGGTCGTTACACTTTTCTGTCTGTAACTAAATGAAAATGTATTGACACAGCAGGTCTACAGTGCATTTGCGAAAGTATTTCGGCCCCTTGAACTTTTCACCCTTGCATTGACACATTTCGGCTTCAAACATAAAGACATAAATTTTA